TTGCTGGTTCCTGGACCGCTCCCACTATGTAAGCAGGAGAGGGTCCATTAGGGCTAAACTTACGTAGGGCTTTTAAAGGCTCCCTTAATTCTACACCCTTGCCAAGGTTCTAGAAATTCTCAAATTAGATCTATTCTTTTGGATGTAGGTATTTTGGGTCACAACCACATGTTTTTTTCTGAGAGAAAGAATGCACAAAGCTATGTAAGTATATATATATATCAGCATGAAGCAAGTAGTCATTGCCAAGCAAGAGCAGGATTCTAAAAGAACGTGTCTCAGTACAGGTGAATTTTGATCCAGAAGACTCTGAAAATGGCTTAAACATGGGAATTTTTTTCTGGAAACAGCGGCGGGGGCAGGGGGTGGTTGTTGATGGGGAAGGTGCAGTGTGAATGTGTTAGAGCTTAGAGAAGCAGGGGGTAAAGAAATTTCCCAGGGGGAGAGAAAACAAAATGGAGAACAGTAAAGAAAAAGCACATATGGTAACTGCTGCCAACCCATCACACTCACTCCATAGTTTTACCTAATTAGTTCTGGCAGTCTTTGGCTTGTGGTAGCTTGACAGGAGAGATCATTCTGGCTGGGTCTCATTGGCTGCCTGATAATCAGTAAAGTAGTAATCGAAGTCTCTCTTTAATGTGGACTCTTTTCAAAACATACTCTTGGCCGGGTGCGGTGGCTCACGCCTGTAATCTTAGCACTCTGGGAGGCCGAGGCGGGAGGATTGCTCGAGGTCAGGAGTTCGAAACCAGCCTGAGCAAGAACGAGACCCTGTCTTTACTATAAATAGAAAGAAATTAATTGGCCAACTAATATATATAGAAAAAATTAGCTGGGCATGGTGGTGCATGCCTGTAGTCCCAGCTACTTGGGAGGCTGAGGCAGGAGGATCGCTTGAGCCCAGGAGTTTGAGGTTGCTGTGAGCTAGGCTGACTCCACGGCACTCACTCTAGCCTGGGCAACAGAGTGAGACTCTGTCTCAAAAAAAAAAAAAAGCAAACAAACAAACAAACAAAAAAAAACATACTCTTTAGGGCTAAATCAGGTGGACACACACACACAGGAGACCTACAGGACATTCAGATAGTAAGAAAATTGCAGCCTAAGAAATGGAATATTGACCCTTACTCATGGTTTACCAAAACCAATGGTTATTTCCGTCTATTATACTAAGCCTCAGAGGTGCTTATTCAAAATTATGAGCTTGTAATTTAAGTTTGCTGCCACCAGGCAGTGATGTGTGCACATGGTCTCATGGGTTTCAAGGCGTCCTACTCAGGCTTAACTTAATAGTACCTTAAGTTGGTATCACAATTGTTCTTGAACTGGTACTGAACTCTCTGGTCTTTGAATGTTTTGGTGTCAAAGCCATGCCTGCAGTTTTTTAGCTTAGAGAAGCAATTCTATTTCTGCCCTCCTCTTTATGTCAGTGTCTGAAGAGAAACCACAGTCATGTTAGAGCTGGAAGGATCTTAGAGACAAGCTAGAAAAATGCGCGCACATGCGCACAGACACACACACACACACACACACACACACACACACACATGCACAAACAAACCTTCATCTTAGGTAGGAAGTAGTTAAAGTAAGATAATTCTCCCAAGGTTATAGAGCTAGCCAGACAAGGGCAGAATCAAGAATTAGCCCCAGTAAATTCCAATTTCACTCAAGATTTTCTCTCTGGTTTTTTGTTGTTATTGTTTTAACAGAAAGAAAAGTAGAGAAAGATGCCAGTAACCCTTTGTCTTTGGTGCTGTAATCCCCACTCCCTATCTCTGAGTCAAATTCTCTTCAATCAATAGCAATTTTTATTGGACATTTTACCCTCTTGAAGATAATATGACCCTTCCTTTCCTTATGGGGCTTTTAACCCCTGAACTCAGCTACCTCTAGGGCTGTACTTATCTCTCTCTTCGCTGGTTTTCCTTCATGGTAGTTCTAACTCTACCTTAAACAAGAGTTTCTTTATAATATGGTAGAATATGTGAACATAAATCTGATAAATCATGTTTTAGTTCACTAATCAAACAATAATTTGGGGGAGGACACACTTTCCTAGCAATACTGACTTCAGAGGTCACTGTATATCCTCAGATGCCCCTAGTCTTGTCTCAAGAAAGCTTTATGTTTGCAAAGCTAATGCCTCGTTTTTGTTTGGCCATCTTTGTCTTTGACTGTCCCTGCAATTCAGCTGCACGACCACCAGGAGGAGGGAGTGTCATGACTTGTGGTGGATTTCCTCAGAAAGGAAAAATGCTGACATTTTTCACTAGATCTACACTAGAGGTGTTCAAGTTTTTATTAAGCAAAAAGCCAAAACAAATAAAAACCAAAAACCCTCTAGGCTATGAAGCCACCAAATAGCTTAAGGATAGCACTGAGAACAAAATTATTTTAAATAAAATAAAATACTTAAGATACCTACAAGACTCTTTCCTGACTCTGTTATTCCTGTAACAGTTAGTGCCAGCCTTGCTCTAATTAATCTTCAGTCTTAACCCTTTCCCAGCATCTGCCCTCTGTTAAGACTTTGAATTTATTTTTCTTCTCTTAAATGGCCTATTCTGTGTCCAAAGTGTTCATCTCTCTTTGCACCTTTTTTTTAGAACTATCTAGAATTTTTAGTCACCAGGCTTTCCTCAGACATCCCAGGACAAAATTGTAAAAACAGAAAAGAGAAGCCCAGCTCAACCTAGTATCTGGAAGGAACAAATCCAATGTTGATCTTTTATTAATTCTGAAATGAAGAGCTTCAGATTTTCCCACTGCCCTCTAGCGGGAACTGGAGATGGTTTGCATCAAAAATATCTGTTAAATGTAATAATAGCCAGCACTTACATAGCATTGCCTACATGTCAGGCACTATTTAGAAATAAGATATATATATCTTACTCATTGCGTATATACATATGTATATCAACTTATTTGTAATATTTATAACAACTTTGTGGGTAAGCACTATTATCACCTTTTTACTAATAAGGAATGCCAAGGTGCAGAGAGAGTAGGTAGCTTAGCCAAGGTTATAGAGCTAATATGTGGTAGAACTACAGTTTGAAGCTCTGAATGAATTTATTATGTTGCCTCTCTATAAAATAATTTTTCAGAGAATACATTGTCTCTTACCTAAGAACTTCAGTAAACTTAGAAAATGGTTGTTCTCTCTAGACAAAACTACAGCCAGAAGGTATGAAGTGACCAATATCCTGCACTTCCAGGTGTTACACTGACTCGAAATCAGTACATTCATTCATACTTATAAGAACATGTATCTTAGCTTAAATGGTCTGGAAAACTTGGTTTGTGTTTTTATGACAAAGTGCTTATTTAGAAAGGAAATAAACTGAACTAATTACAACCAGATTTGCAAGCTGATAAATGGCAGGGGCACTGAATAATTATAATTTGCATTCTCTATAACAATCAGCACAATGCTATAGGCTTATTAGTAATGCTGCAAGTTTATTTAAAGTGTTAATAATAAGTAAATCATTCAATCCTTATAATCTTTGAAGTGAGCAGGGCAAATCTTATTCTTCCCATTTTGTAGAATAGGAAACTGAGGCTCAAGAGGTTATTCAACTGTGTAAGAAAGACATTCTATACACTTCTTTATTCACTACCTCCAAAGCTTATTAATCTTCTTGTTAATTAAACAACTTCTGCCATATCTAGGGATTCTCCCGTCTGAAGAACAAAGACTAACTTGTCCAGAATCTTGAAGACTATGTTTGTTTTCTTTATTGTTTTTTTTTTCCTTTATCCCTTGATGCAAAGGCAATAGCATGGTTTACCATACTAAGACCCAACTAGATGAAACAATATTCTTGAGTTTGATATTTATCTATTCTTTTTTTTTATATGGAAGACTTAAAAATGGTAGAACTGGATGACAACTAACCATTTTATGTTATGCTTTCCCCAACCTATTTTACACATGAAGTCATGGAGATCAAAGTGTATACCAATTTGCTCAAAGGCACCACAAGTAATGGGAGGGGCAGGGGCCAAAATCCACATCTTCTGGCCCCATCTATCAATTTCTCTCTCTACTAGCTTTTTCCCCAGTACAGCCCTGAGCTTATCTTTCCTGCTAGCCAGGTGAAGACTCCCTGTTTCAAAGCAAATGCCAGATACATCTTACCCTCTCTCATTTATGAAAATTCTCAATAAGAACAGTCAAAAGTAGAGCCCTGTGGCATGCCATTGGAGACCTATTAATATTTTCAGTACAGGGAAGAACTGTCAATAAATGAGTTTTCAGTAATTCATTTTAACTCATCATTTTCAGTGCTTATTCTGTTCACAACTATATACTTAGCTCTTTTAAAATTGTCTGATCAGTAATATCATCCTAGTTGCATTTCATCATCTTGAATATCATGGAGAAATGTCTTGTACTTTTATTGAAATTAAGGTAAGCTAAATCTTTAGCATTCAACTTCCTAATCAACCTGGCAATCCTGAAAAGAACAAAATAGTTTAGCATAGCACAGGTTATGCTTAAATAATCTTCATTTGGTTCTTATTGAGCATCACAGTTTTTGAATATTTGCAATATCATGATAAATTTCTGGGAATCAATGTCTAGCTACCTGAAAGAAGTATGAAGAGCCCTCCCTTTCCTCCTTTCTGGATGACATAGTATTAATATTTGTCCATTCTAGTCTCCTGTTCTTCCTAGTCTCTCAAAGATGAGTGATCTCCTTGCTCTAAGACTACACCTGCAGATTTCCATGAACCAAAGGGAAGTTAAGCCAAGGGTGGTTCCTGTCCTTAAGGAAGGCCAACACTAATGGAGCAAATGCAGCCACAATGGGTAATGAATGTAAATGTAGAAATGCAAACTGACCCATAGTTGTGCTGGTGGGAGGGACAGTCTGCATTGTTATTGTTAACATAGGTTGGATGACTCCAGGCTGGCTTCCTGGCCCTCACTCCACCCTGGCCTCTTCCGTCTGCCCTGAGTGGAGTCTCTGCTCTCTCCCTCACAGTTGTGGACATGGATGGAAGACCTCCAGAAGGAGATGCTGGAAGACGTCTGTGCGGACTCCGTGGATGCAGTCCAGGAACTGATCAAGCAGTTCCAGCAGCAGCAGACGGCCACCCTGGATGCCACACTCAATGTCATCAAGGAAGGCGAAGACCTTATTCAGCAGCTCAGGTCAGCGCCTCCCTCCCTAGGGGAGCCCAGCGAGGCCAGGTCAGCATGGGCAGTGCCTTCCAGTGGGAAATGCCTCGGGCTAGACGTGAGATAAGTCCTGTCCCAGTCTTGAGTCACCACAACCTGTTTTGTGGTCATGTGTGAGCCTCAGTTTCTTCATTTGTAAAATGTCAAAATGCCTGCACCATACCCAACTTGAGTCTAAAATGAAATAGTAAAAAGCTCAAATGGTTCAAAGTATTATTTATCATGTTGAATGATAAATCAATAAGTAATACAAATACAACAAAAATTAACAAAATTCAACAAAAAATAAATAATATCTTCATTAAGAATTATGGCATATTTGGTCATATGGAGAAATAGACATTAGGGAAGGTAGTGTTATTTGGCATCTGATCTTAGGCGAACTTGAACTCCAGTGCCCCAGTCAGCAGAATTTGACCATTTTGCTGGTGTTTGACTCTGGCACCATGAGGACATAGAGAGCATGTGTTGTTGTCCCACATTACCTGTCTCTGACCTGTGCACCAATCCTTGCTGCCCAGAAAATAAAACACCTTCTGTATCAACCTAAACAACCATAACAAGAAGGAAAGTCCTGTCTAAACCCTTACATTTGTTTACCCACACCACTGCCTCCTTTCTCTTGGCATCAATACCTAGTTTCCTGCCCCTGTAAAGGACACTGGCTCCTCAGTAAAGTGTCGTCAGGCCTTGAGCGAGCCCTAGACAGCCAGACCCGTGCCCAGGTGCTATGTAAACAGGATTTGATGGTGCTAATGATGCCTGCCCGCAGGGACTTGTTCCCATCCTAGAATCACTGAGTTCTGGGACCTCTGCCAGCTCCGGACAGAAATAATCTCATCAGCAAGTCCCAGGCCAGCCCTGGGAACTGAGGGAATTACTTCAACTGAAGACGTCTTTTTCCCCCCATACCAATTGTCCAATTAAATAAACAATGAGAAATTACCTTTGGAAAACACTGGCATGTTTTTCGGTTGGAAATTAATGATTTCTATTCCAAACATGCACATGAGATGTTCTGAATCCCTCTGTTGCATACTAACAAGACAGCCTCTTTCCCTTCTTCTCCCAATTCATCCTCATGACTATATTATACATGACAGTTCTGTCTGCTTCCCTAGGAACCTCCACTGTCATTTGCTTCTGAAGAAAATTCCAAATAGTAGGAAGCCACTTAACCTCTCTGGGCCTCAGATGCTTTGTCTGTGTAATTAAGGGGTTGCTCTAGGAGCCCTGTCAGCCTAGAATTTTGTGATGCCTTTTGTGTTATCTCCCCGAGCACTTTCCATAAGCTTAGCTGGCTTTTCTGCCTGTGGGGCTGGGTCTATGGAGATGCCGCTTGCTCTTAACAGCCACCAATGTTAAACATGCGTGATGCCTGAGGGCATAAGGCCACTCGTGATTGTGAAGTCAACAGTGTGGGCGATGCCTGTTCTACAAGAGTAAGTTCCATGGATTTTAGAGAGTACCACAGGCATATGACCAAGAGCCATTGGTGGCCATTCATCCCCCACTAGCCTGACTCTAGCCCAGGCTTTCTTCCCTGACATCTCTTGTTGAAGAGAAAGAGAAGTAAGTGATGCTTAGTGGATGCTGGCAGGATGCTCCACACACCAGAAACACATCTGCCCCAGGTCTCCGTGGTTCTTCACACACCCATCAGTGGAGCACCTCAGGGGACTTCTGCCTCCTCTCTGTGCTTCCTACTGAGTGGGACATTGACATAGGTACTGTACAAAATGGTCAGAGATCGTTCTTTTCCTCTTGAAGCCATGTGATGGACTTCTCTGAGACGAGAAGTCAACAGAACAGTCATATCCTCCCATCAGCAAAGCCCTCAACAGATGCATAATGAATATCACTGAGTACATTTTTCATGTTTGTTTCATGACTGGGGGTGTCTATGCAATAGTGGGGCTAGGAACCATGCCTGTTCCATGCCCAAACAGGCCAGGGTGAGGAGGTAGGAATTGGGTGCTCTGTGAATGACAGAGGGAAGGGTGCTTGACATACTGGCTTTATACTGTCTTCAGAAACAGTGTGAGCTCAGATATCATTGCTTCTGAGGCAAGCACAGGCTAGAAGATGTGGCTTTCAGAAAGCCTCCAGATGAGAAACTAATGATTTTCCCCTTGTCCTCTGATTTCTTAAATTGTTTAATATACCAAGATGTCACAAGATAATAAATGTGCCAGTGTATTTCAAGTTTTAGGGCCCAAGTTCCTATAGAATCTAAACTTCTTAACATCCGTAGTATTTTTTATAGTTACCTCTTTGGAGCTCTTACCACCACCCCATTCCTCTGAGCAGGTCAATCTGTAGATCTCTTGGTTCCCCTCTAAAACATGTCATCTCCCTTTGCTCAGAGAGTGTGCTCCCTCCCATCTACTTGACTATGTTCATCTATTTCTTCAAAACCCAAATCAAAACTCCTTGAAACCTTTGCTTGTTGTCCCAGTCTCTTGTGATCCAGCCTTAACTCTTCCAACTTTGGGCCTGTGCCCCAGATAGCACTTGACACTTCACTCATGTCCTTTCAGGATTGATAATAAATGCATATCACAGTTCACCTGCACTATCTTATTTAACAGCCAACTGGGAAGTGAGCAGGGCAGGGATTTTAAGTCCACTCTACAGGCGAGGCAGCTGGGCCACTAGCCTGTGCATGTCAGAGTGGGCATCTAATCCAGGTCTGCAGATTTCAAATCCTGTGCTTTCCTAAGTATGCTTGACACCTGGTTAATGACACCAGCCTGTGACTTTGGCAGAGGATTTTAAAGTCGATGCTTACAATTTGGCAACCATGACGTCATCTTATTTTAACAATCCTGTGAAGTAAAACTAAGGAGGTTTTTATTTTCATATGCCTTTAATGTGTCTATCCTTATGTATTGTGATATATGTGATATGTGTGTGTGCATTAAAACTATACATATTAGACTGTACATATGTATGGAACAATTCCATTTCTCTAATTTATGTTTTGTAGAGCCCTTTCCCACACATTATTTCATTATATTCCTTTCACAGTTCTGTCTGAGGAATAGGAGAGCAGCAGTCTTAGAGTTGTGAACCCAAAAGAGGATGCATGTATCTTTGGTTCACTTACTAAGCAGATAGTGTCAGGCTTACAATAGGAGTTTGATAAATGTCTGTTGATTGAATGACTCAACTGACTGACATCCACCTTGCTTGGATGTGGAAGGCCCCCCTTCTCTGTCACTTCTAACATGGCAAGACCTCTGTCCCCTCTCTTTCCCCATCCCTGCTCTGCCACAGGGACTCAGCTGTGTCTAACAACAAGACACCTCACAGTAGCTCCATCAGCCACATTGAGTCAGTGCTGCAGCAGCTGGATGACGCCCAGGTGCAGATGGAAGAGCTGTTCCATGAGCGGAAGATCAAGCTGGACATCTTCCTGCAGCTGCGCATCTTTGAGCAATATACCATCGAGGTAAAGATGGGGGGGGACCACAGAGGTGAGCTAGGGAGGGGGCCAAGGAGCACTCCCTGGCCAAGGGCACTGTGCCAAGTGCAGGCCAGTAACCTAAGGGAATTAGAGCATCAAGCATGCATTTTTAAAACTCAAGAAATTATCAGTTCACTGTGATGTATTCCTTCCAGACCCTCTCATCCCCCACTGCCAAGCAGAGCTGCTCTGTTTTACTTTCTGTCTATGGATTACTTACTTCATTGAGAAGTTTTTGTTGCTATTCATTGAACTCCTACTTGGTAATTTAGCTCTTGAAAGACCATGGAATTGGCTGTTTGATGACTCAAGTAGAGTCATTGAATTTCATAGCTTTATAAAATTAGATGGCCTCCTCAGCTGATAAATGTAAAGCGGGATTAGATGCAATCACAGAGCAGCCAAAAAGCCAGCAGCCACAGAAAGGAAGACTTGTATCCTCAGTTTGAGTTCTACCTATTAAGAAAGTAAGTTTGTATTAAGCCATTTGTTGCTTCATTTCATAGACTCCTCAGTTCTTTTATAAAAGGTCGGAATCCCATGTTCTGGCATATTTATGCCCCCTTTGTGGTAACAGTGAACAATGTCTGCCCCCCATAATTTCTGCCTTTTATTATTTTCTGCTTTGAAACAGTAACTAAAGCCAGGCCAATAGGGGTATGAGGAACATCCAACACATAAGGTACTTTTTCCTTCTCAGGGATGATAAAGGGTTAAATTAAGGCACTATCTTCTTTGCTTCTGGCAGGGATAGCAGGAGGGAAAGCAAATTTTCCACCTCCCATTTCTTGTTAACTTTGTTTTGCATTCCAACCACCTCCTTGGAGTTGGAGCTTCTGGGTTTCTGGAGACTGATCTTCCCAACAGTATCTGTGAAACCTTCAATGGAACTAGTTTGGAAGGAAAATTATTTCTTTTTAAATGTTGAAAGCTCCAATATCCCATCCTAATCTAACTCAAGACCAGAGAACTGTCTTGGCAACAGCTACCCTTTTCTTCTATCCTGGGACCAAAAATGTTTATATTGAGAATCTGAAACGTAAAAGGAAAGCAACTTAAAGGTATTCATATTCCTATCCCTTACTCTCCTGTGATCTTTCTCTTTTTATAAGCACATCTCTCTGCACCTGCCTCCTTGGGGGCCCTCGTAATTTCTTGCTTAAAGATTTAATGTTTGAAAGGTGGCTTTCTGGACAGTTTTTGGAACAGAGGAAAAAATATGTCTTTCAATCTAAATCTTAATTATCCTTCCAGCTGATTCCATAACTTTGGGTGAATTTATTGATACTTTTCCTTTATTTTGAATCTGTACTAAGGATTTCTCGGAGCAGTAATATTAAAACATATTTTTGAAGAACAATCAAAATGCCAGTGGAAAAGGAAAGACATTGGCATACAATGAAGAGTATATGTAGTGAACTTCATAAACATGGGGAGAGAAAGGTAATAGGGAGAAGAGAAAGGGTATGAGTCATTATTCTTTATTCACTGGAGTGAGACTCACACAACTAAATAGAGGTTACTTTTGATTAAAGTGGTGTAGGCCCCAGACACTCCCACAATCCTTCCTCAGCCCCACTTCGCCCACTGGGAGTGAATATATCCATGGGGGAAATTATGTTAGCAGGTGTGGTGATTTTGCTGTTGTATTCTTTATTTACTCTGCTGTCATTCCAGGTCCACATAAAAAAAAATGCTTAAGAGAAGGAAACAATCTGAGGATTTGAGGTTTTGAGTATTGATACATTTTATGTGATTACATGGCTGTGGTCTGGAGGTCAGGTTGCTGGTTTAGTCCCAGAATGGGGTCCTTGGACATGGGCTGCACCCCTGATGTCAGCTGGGGGCATCACAAGGATGTATTTGCCTGCAGCAATTCTGAGCAAATCCAGTTCCGCTCCTGAAAAACAACCCAAAGCATATGCAGAAAATATTCTTTAAAAAAATATGAGCATAAATAAAATACTTTAAAATTGGATCCTTCTTAAATGTTGCAGTAGAGGAACTTGATATTTAAATGGTAGGATTTGCATTCTCCAGCCTTTCTATATATAAACCTTCCTCTTCCCACCTCAAGTACTGGACAAAAACTTGAATGACTTGGTATGCAGTAGAGCAGAAGCAGGGAAATAGTGTGAGGGCCTGATAAAAGGAGGGAGATAAAAACAGTTATTTGAGTCTACATCTTCTGGCGTAGGCTATAACATCTACCTTTTTGAAGGGGTCTTATTACCCATTTGGGGGGAGGCCCCAAGTTTGGGGAAAATGCTGCGTCTAATCTTAGATAGAAATGGAAATCCTGCCAAACCTATGGAAAAGCTCTGCTTCAAGTCAGATTGTCAGAAGTTATTTTTGAGGGTGATGAGATTATTTCAAATACCAGCTATGTTTCACTGTGGGGATGAAGAGCAAACTTCTAGAGAAGCTTCGGAGTGTGAAACTGAGGGTGGTTTCTGTAATGAGAGACATGTCAGAGCTGACATGAGCCAGGGCAGGGTCTGTGATTACAGGACCTACAGCTGTGGTTTCTTTCCTAGAGGAAGGCATTTGATGGACATACTCCAAATTCCTAGGGATTACTAAACACCAGAGCAGGCCTCCTACCCTGACATCTGGGGAATCTAACCATGGCTCTTTAACTGACAGCTGAGATGAGACAATTAATTTAAAAATTAGGATAGCACATGAGCTGCTACACCAGTCTCCTTTTACTCAATAACAGTAGTATGTGTGGCTCCCACATAATAACCTGGAATGAAATTATAGGGTACCCCTACTTAAAGTGAAACATTTCAGATATTTTAGGCAGATGTTCAAAACCAGGACTGCAGCTGCATTCCTGACATACCTTTTTGGATTCCACGGAGACTTGACAGAGTGACCTAGAGTGGAACATGATGCTCTATGAAGTTTTGTCCTATAGGTTCAGCCTCTCTCTATGAAAGACATTTTATATGAAATGGTTATGATAGAAGAGACACTTTGCCAAATGCTAATAATGTTTATTTTGTAGTAGTAAGAATATGGGTGATTTTTTTGTTTTTGATGCTTTCTTGCATTTCTAAGCTTTCTACAATTAGAATGATCAGAAAGTAATATTAATAAAATATGTTTTTAGAAGCAAGAATAGGCCCATGGTCTCCAAACATGTTTGATGATGTATACTCGCAATAAACTGTTTTTGAACTTTCAGTCCCTACATATGTATAAGTATTTTTAAATAAATTATAAAGATGTTCTGTCACTAGCTAATAATCTCAAAACTCAATATGCTTCGAGGTGCAGTTTAGTTTTCTCATTAGAAGTTGTGGTTCCATATCTCAAATAATCTTGTAATAATTTCCAATTACTTTTTTGCCCAGTTTCTTGACAGATCTGATTAGATTGTCATTGTTTCCTTACCCCATAATGTGGCTGACAGAGAGTTCAGAGCTCTCTTGTGCTTTTTTGATTAGTATCTTCAAACTGCAGTTTCTTTGTAGGAACCTTGTTAAATCATGTCTTTTTGTGAAGGTTAGGTTAGTTAAGACTAGATAATAAATAAATCCATTTAACTGGGAACATGAAAAAGAGCAATAATTTGAAATATGCTGAAAGCAATGAACAAATGAGCCGCAGTCAGCCCCTCTGAATCATGACACTCCTAACTTCCCTGGGGAGGCTTCCCTTATCACAAATGGCACAAAGCCACCTGTCATGTGGTCAGAGTGAGACTCCAGCATCAATCTACTAGTGAAAGTCTAGGGAAACTTTGTATAAACTTTTTATTGGTTTGATAAAATATATGTGCATATAATACATATATGCATATTTATGTCAAGAGATTTTTTTGCTCTACTGTCAATGGATAATCTTGGACATGCCCTGAGTGGCATACTCATGTTGGAGAGTCCTAGAAATGACACCAAGAAAGATACTTTAGACAAAAGACTTTCTGAAAGTATAGGCCACCTTTAGGGTCTTTCTTTTAAATCTCTAACTCTATAATTGCAAACTGAGTTTGCTCAGTGTACCTGAAAGTTCATTTGAGTAATTAACCTGAGTAAGGAATGGAGCAGCCAACTCTAAATCTGTGGACTTCACATTAAAACAAATTGGGGCCAGTCTGAGCCTGGGAAGAAATGGCCTTCAAGGAGGAAGCCTCCACCTAGAGAACACTGATTGTAACTATTTCATTCCTTACTCAAGTGGTCTCAACTCTTCAATTGGTGGTATACACGGGCCCTTAGCATTTTATATTAGAAAGAAATTGTTCAGTCAGCCTTTCACCTCTATAGAAATTCAACTCAGTAAACATTTAATGAGCACTTTCTATGTACCAAAAACTATGTTGGGCATTGAGGATACAACAGTCCCTGCCCTTAGAGGCCATTTGGTGGGAAACACGGCAACAGAGAATCATCACACAACGTAAGAATTCTATGATATAGAGAGGCTCACAGTTTGATGAGAACACTGAGAGGAGCAGGGCAGGGAGGAGAAAGGAGGGAACTCAGGATTTCGTTACTGTGTTGAACCAAAAGCTCTACCTTTTATCCTTTGGTCCTTATTCTCTCTGGGGGAAAAAAGAGAACAATTCTGCTCCTTCTTTTATCTGGAAGCCTTAAAAATATTTGGAAATGTTTATCATAGGCCTCTTTTCCTTTATCTGAAAAATGATAAAATTGTATAAACTATTTCTACAGTCTCCTCTAAAAATTCTATGACTATTTCTCTTTATTGTCAGCCCTTCTCTGCGGTACATTTCCCCAATTTATTCACCTCTCTCTGGATAGGACATGCATGGTCTCTAGACACTGAGTGTCTTGGTCACCCTCTGCTGAAGGGACTCTAGTTAGCTAAGCCTGGCTCATATGCACACCGTGGGTGAGCGCTATTCAGGATGCTTGCTCTGGTGCAGCCCAGGCAGTAGGTGCCTTTCAGTGACTGCATCAGCTGTCTTGAATAGGCTTTGCTCACTTAAAAGCCCCTGCTTATCTTTTCAA